TATTACTTGAAACTTTACACATAACTCAAAAAACGCCGTTGGTTACACATTTGTTCGAACTGCCTATGTATTGTGTCATCATATTGTATCATGTAATGTGTCACTGTTTGTTTTCCCAAATAAATAAAATAAAATTACTTTATATAATATTTGCGGAAATTAATTCAACATAATTACTGCGTCATAGAATTAAAGTATTCACACAAAGAGAATTTAAAATATTGTTTAAGTTTTTATTCAGTGATAAGTAAAATTTGAAGGAACCGACGATGATTATCATTCATGTTATTAGCTATATGCTAACAAAGGATTGAGTCTAGGTATAATTATTAAGCATCACTATCACTACATAGTATAAAACAAAGTCGCTATCCGCTGTCTGTCTGTCCCTATGTATGCTTAGATCTTTAAAACTACGCAACGGATTTTGATGCGGATTTTTTTAATAGACAGAGTGATTTATGTAGAGGTATAATTCATGCATATTGCACCCGTGCGAAACCAGTTACGTATTATTTAAAAAAAGCTATAAATCCTGAAATATTAATAATTTTTAAAAATATGTTTAAGTAATACTCGGGTCAATCATTAACCAAAGATGTAAAATCTTTTACAGGTTCCAGAAAGCGTGTGTAAAGTACGGAGTACCTGATGTGGACCTCTTCCAGACAACAGATCTCTGGGACCAGAAGAACATCGCACTCGTGACACAGACCATCTTTGCCCTTGGAAGGACGGTACGTAAGGTTCAATGACCTTTTGACGTCAGATCAGACGCCATGTTTTTTAAAATAAATTATTTAACATTTTGTTTTGGAATCTGACTACTTAATTGTGTTCGTTTTTATTTTTAAAGATAAAATGCCATTTGGTCCCCGAATAGGAGGTTAAATGTTATGGTTCAAATATTAATTACCCACGTTTAGAATACAGTCTCATTGTTATAAACAGTGTATTTCGCGTGTAGTTTAAATATTATTATTTAATTGCATGTGAATGTGATTATCCGCTACCTTTTCTGCATCCCTGGTATCACAGATCACAATTTATTATTAAATATTATTAAACGTATACTCAAAATAATGCGTTGAAAGTGATCTTAGGAGTTTTATTTATCATACCATTAATTAACGTTTACGAAATACTCAGATTTGATTATTAATTTACAGGCCTACAAGCACCCAGAATGGCGCGGTCCCTACTTAGGCCCCAGGCCGGCTGAAGAGAACCGTCGTGAATTCAGTGAGGATGTGCTCCGTGCTGGTAACTCAGTCATCGGTCTACAAGCTGGCACCAACAAACTGGCCAGCCAATCAGGACAGAACTTCGGGGCATCTCGCAAAATTATCCTCGGCAAGTGAAAGTACTAGGATACCAGAATCAGTTAGATATATTATATCTATGTATAATATTAATTTGTATTTTTTAAATTATATTGTTATAGTAATATTTATTCTATTTTGTGTAGTAAATATTGTGTTGTATTAAATTACCTACTATGGTGCATAAGTCAATTTAATGCCAAAGATTTTGCAAAATATATCAGGAGAGAAGGTGTTGTATTGAGTCATTATTTAAGAAAATTATTTCTATTACGTAATATCCAATGTCCATCAATTACATACAAGAATATCTAGTTTTAAACTATGGAATTTATTTATAATAAATTATTTTTAATCGTAATCCTAAGGACTAATCATAAAACTGTGATGTTTTCGAAGTTGGATGAGGATTGACAGTCGGTACATAAACTTTTAAGTATTACTTTAAACACCGAAAATAAACGACTATCTACAGAAACATTGTTTTTCTTATCTGAACGTTGATATCTATATGTTTAAGCAACATACCTAAGCGAATGTTATTTAGGTATTTAAACATTGCCAAAAAAGTAAAAATCCTGAGTACCTACCTACCTACTTAATGACTATGGCACTGAAGACTTTAATTATTGTCGTGGGAAGCATTTTTCTGGTATTTTTTTGAGTTTTAACCTATAGATAGCACTACAAGCTTGTAGGTAGCTTGTACCTAGGTAGGTACCCAAAGAGTTATGGGCATACACAGTATATTTGGTATATTCATACACAGTTCGCAATCCTAGGCTCAGAGTCCTTATGGATTGAAAAAGCAAACCTATAATAAGACATAAGATGACCAAGGAAAATTTGGAAAACTGATTTACCTACATCTCAATGTAAATCATGTTTCGGCACGAATGTGATACCACGGCCTCACAGAAAACCGACGTGAAACAACGCTTGTGTTGTGTTTCGTTGAGTGAGTGAGGTTACCGGAGGCCCAATTACCCCCCTCCCTAGTCTCCCGAATCCCCGAATCCTCTAATTCCCAATTCCCAAAAGGCCGGTAACGCACTTGTAACGCATTGGTGTTTCGGTCGTCCATGGGCGGCGCCGATTGCTTAGCATCAGGTAATCCGACTGGCTTATGCTATAAAAAAATCACTTTGTCATTAAACCCAAAAATAACAACAAAAAATGTACTAACATAAAGTACTTAATTATATTTTGTTTATTAGTCTCGTCTCATATCCGAAGTACCTGATGAATGCCCTTGACCGCAAAAGGCGATCACACCGCCACCACACCACTGATGGGGCGCTCCATAAAAAGTTCTCTGTAATCTATTTTCGGTTCAGATGTTATTATTAATATTCTACGTGTGAAGAAGGAAAATGTCTTTGATATTCCTTTCCAGTTGATAAGAAGGACCACCCATGCAGGATCTTAAGTACCTACTGGTTAAAGGCTTCTAGTTATTTATTACCTTGGTTTTATTTTGTTAAACATATGCCTACCTATAAGTATTTAAAGGTACCTACCGTAGGTACTTCCTTACTTCACATCACATCATACCAACAGTCTATAAGTAGCACGGAGAAGGTTTGAGCGTTAATCACCACGCCTGCTCAATGCGGTTTAGCGATTTCAAACTTATTTATAGAGACTATAAGCTGAGGTTTCCTCACGATATTTTCCTTCACCGTTTGTCAGTGGCGTCTAAATAATCTTTGAAAATATGTACATATTTTTTTTAAAAGTCACGTTGGTACTTGCCTTTGGTAAGTTTCGAACTCACAAACTCGTACACGAGAAGCTGACGTCTTAAACCACCAGGTCACCACGACATTCACTTCCTTACTTAGTATTTACTTACCTACCTTAGTACCTTAAAAAATGAAACCGAAGGAAGTGGAAACTATTCCTTTTCAGCTGCTAACTCCTGATTCATTTTGTTGTTGGCTCCAAGCCATTTATGTTGTTCACGTCTCTAGGACGCACTAAACTTCATTGTCTTTAACTTGATTGTTTTTAATGGTGGTACTTATTGGTAGAGAGGTGTAAAGACTAGAAAGAAGAGGTACTTTCTGAAGATTCTGCACAATTTTTTTGACTGCTCCCACCTGGGTGAGGCGGGAGGGAGTGTCAGACTCTTACTGACTAAAAACCACCCCGTTCCTTCTCCTGCACGTCGAGCCGGAGCCCCGGTTACCCGTTAGGTTCTCTACGACAGATTCTGGACCATAGAAATTACAGTGAAAGAGAGAATGAGGTGCGCTTGTCCTTAAAACGTCTACTTAGCTAGTGATGATTTCTCTACCCCGATTTGGGGCCAGCCCGCCACAACCACCCAAAACCGCTGCAACTCCTATAAGCCAGGATCTACGGTAGATACAACCATAAAAACACCGGATACTGAAGTCCAGTGCGCGTGCATCCCAGGGACATAAGTAACTTTTTTTATGGGATTGGACTGTAAACGAGCAGACGGATCACTTGATGGTAAGCAATCGGCGCCACCAGGACACCTGGAACATCAGAGCCGTTACAAGTACGTTACTGGCCTTTTGGGATGAGGAGTTTGGGGATCGTTGGGGATTCAGGGATTGGGGAGATTCACACGACGAAATAAAACGCAAGCGTTGCTTCACGTCAGATTTTTGTAAGACTGTGGTATCACTCCGGTCGATCCGGCCCATTCGTGCCGAAACATGTGTTAGGTATTATTACTTAATAGCTGAATATATATAGGTAGGTACTTATTGAATTAACTTTTTTACAATGATCCAAATTAGGCAAAACTTACTTACACTTAAGTAAGTCGTAGAACAACGTAAGACTCGGTATTACCTGTGGTATTACCTGGAAGTACCTAGTTTGTAGGTACTTAGAATTTCAAAAAATCTAATAAATGGCTGAAGAATCCACTTCTTCTAGGTCTCTATGGTGAAATAATAACTTGTATCTCACTAATTATAATTTGATATTTCATTTACAATTTTATAAGTATTAAATCAATAGTTTAAAAATAACAATGTACGGAGTAATTAAAGTATTGCACGTAGCGACATCCAGCGGCGTTTGGAAATACTACAATCAGTTATAAAAGTACAAAAGTCACATATTTGAAAACAGATGGCGCAAATTCACGAAAGCAAGGTCGTCTATAGTGATGTCCATTGCTATTACGAAAAGCAAATAAAATGTCTTATTGGAATATCTTGTAGTCTTCTTTTTCTTATTAGTTAGCTTACACTAGAAATAAATTATAAAAACAGTATTTATCAAATTGATTTATATGGGCTATTTAAAAACAAGCACAGCATGCTATATTTTAATTTTCTTTTTGAAATATTTTGGCGATAAGAGACAACCTTGACATAATATTATATTACGTCAAATCACATAATGCAAGGAGATAACCAATGTTTTATAAGTATTTAGCAGTTAAGACGTGGATGGCAACTAATTGTATAATCTAATGAATATGCAATTCAAGCAAGCACGTTTGCAAACATTTTGTGACAGTCTTCACAGACTACAACAATGTCGACTTTGCGTGCGAAGAAACGAGTACATCACTAATGTTAAATAACACAAGCCCGCAAATACTTGTTGTGGAATTTATTTTTTACACTGCGTAAATTGAATGTGAAATGTGTGTATAAACTATCCAAATGTTAATAAACACGTGAGAAAATGATAACATTCGGCGGTGGGAACAATTCCACGGCGATAGAAGATACAGGTGCGGTGTTGTGAACTTTGTTTTTAGTTAACGTCTTGTGAGGACTTTGAGTTATTGTATTGTTATTTTGTAGGGGAAGTGAGGAGCATCTGCGAGAGTATATGCAGCGATGGGTCCAGTGCGACGGTACAGCCCGGGGGCTCCAACCAACGACCTCGGATGGATATAGCATGTGTTTTGGATATTACCCAAACATTGAATCTTACACATAGGAAAAGGGCTTTAGAAGAAGTTCGATTGGCATCTGAGCTGGTGAATGCTAATCTACATCATATACCTGTGAGTTTATATCTTAATTTAGTACCCGAATTAACATATTTACAATAAGTAATGCATGTCCTTCAAATACCTCTTTCCTCTCACAAAAGAATTCAGTATAGAATTATATGTATAGATTCTAATTTTAAATATCTCAGGTTCAAATCGGATGGTCATTTTACCAGTCAGATTGATGAGCAAAGTAATACAATTCTTAGCCATTTTGTGATTCTTGTAAATGCCAATAGGAAAAAAGTTAGGAATAAATGTTGAATTAAAGGTTTTTATATTTGTCTATTTATAATTTTGTTAGAGATACACACTCAAGATTGATTTTTTATTTACTTTTATCAAGAATTCATTAAATTTAATCTTAGAGGTAGATAACTACTTGTAAACAATAATAAATAACCAAATAAAACAATACCTGAAGTTATCTAAAAGTTAAGATTGTATAAACTAAAATCAGTGTCTTAGTATAACCTTACAAATATCACTTTGAAATATGTGTATGTTCAAAGTAGGTATCATGTGAAATAATTACAAACTAATTACCATCTGTTTGTCGCTGGGTTTTTCCCATTTACTCTTAAAGTTACCTTATTTAGAAAAAATATTTAACTCGTCGAGTACCGGTTTTATAGACACAATTAAAGAACAATAGGTCGCGGTCACCGGTGACCGCTTGGTGTTTGACAGTTTAAGATGAAAAATGTCATTGCTTTATGTGTTTCTTTCTTCAAAATACTACTTCAGTATGAACTTGCACAGCTCCTTAGTGTCTCATTTCATTTTATTTAATTTTTTTTGTCTGGGTTTCATGAGAAACAGACTCCGAGTTTGATTCAGTACTCTCAGTCAGGTAATAAATGCTGCTGTCATTCTGTTAATTTTGAAATTTAACTAACAGAACGTAACATAACGCCTTTTATCCCTAAAGGGGTAGGTAGAGGTGTACATTACGGCACTAAATGCCACTGTGCTATATAACACCCACTTTTCACTATTTATGTTGTGAGTCCCATGTAATATGGGGTGAGACTATTGATATGATATTTTGAAATATCTTTAAGTAAAAGTCGTTTGTATCTTCGCTTACAAAACGGCAGAATGGTGCCGAACATGGACATACAAATTACAAAACATATTCCTCTTATCAGCTTTTGTTTATTTAGTTAGAAGTTTGTGACAGTAAACAATTATTAAAATAACAAATAATGAATAAAATAGATTACCTTTCTATTGTTAATTAAATTTTACTTTGTCTTTATACATAAGGTTTTCCCGTAAGTTTGATATGATTATTTAACTTACCATCAGGTGATCCGTCTGCTCATTTGCCTACTATACAATAATAAAAAAAGTTGTTAACTGCTGATTGTAACATATTGCAGTCATTATGTCAACATCCAGATTAATTAAGTATTGATATTCGAGACATAAACATAGTAATACAATTTGTAAACATTTCCCAACAACTCTTGGCATTTTCTTATTCTTTTTTCTTTTTACCAGATAAGAATCACCAAATTAATTTAATAGGAAGACTATGAAGTGTACAGAGCCGTTGTTTTATATATCAATAAAATTAAACAACAATAAATAACAACTAGTATTAAACTGTCAAACACCTAGCGGTCACCGGTGACCGCAACCTATTGTTCTTTAATTGTGTCTATAATGAAGGTACTCAACGAGTTAATGTTTCTTACTATTTTCCAGTTCGAGAAGTTGGACTTTGGTGAAACAAATGTACTGGATACATTTTACAATGCGGACGTTGCATTGGTGGACCTTAGCCTGCAAGTGCAGCAGAGCTCATTACTGTATCACTTGGGAGTACGGGAAAGCTTTGACATGAAGGAAAATGTTCTACTATACAACGATGTTGATGCAGACTCTACGCTTCGGCTTAAGGTAATTTTTTCTCTCCTGCTGGCTTGTTTAATGTGTTTTATATAATGTTGTATTTTTACAATTTTTATTGTTCTTTAAAGAGGTAAGTAATGTGAAGTGTATTAAATGTAATATCCACTTTTAACCAGTTATGCTACATGGCCTATATGTATGTGAGTATTTTGGATATGAAATAGAGAGGCTGCCTCGATGGCCGAGTGGTCGCAAGTGCGACTACCGGGCAAAGGGTCTCGGGTTCGATTCCCGGGTCGGGCAAAATATTACTGGGTTTTTTAAAAAAAATCTCAGTAGTAGCCCGGAGTCTGGAAATGTGCCCGGTATATGGCAATAGGCTCACCCCCTATTATATAGGACTCATAACATAAATAGTGAAAAGTGGGTGTTACTTCTGTGTGCACCTCTGCCTACCCCTTCGTGGATAAAAGGCGTGATGTTATGTTATGTGATGTGTTGAAATAGAGAGATAGATTGTTAGATAGAGTAACAGTATCCCCTGACCATACAACACCATTCTTTGTCTAATCTAAAATGTTTGATTTATGATTGATTTCTTTGAGGTAGGTAAGGTAGCGGCTTTGTTCATTGTAATTTTAATCTTTTAATTTCTTTGTTCTATGATTAACTATTAAATTAAAGCGACATAGTTATATTTAATTATAACAAGCAGCAAGACTGCACGGTTCGCGCTGTAACTGGGCAACTGGCTGCCACTCAATGTGTCGTGGGTTCGATTTCCGCACGGATCAACTCATTGTGTGATTCACAGATTGTTGTTCCTGGTCTGAATGTCATGTGTATGTGAAATTGTATGTTTGTAAACGCACCCACGACACAGGAGAAAATCCTAGTGTGGGACAATGCTTTTAACCGAAAAACAAAATAACTTAATTAAAAAGACAATGACTTAAAATATCTTAATCAAACTATTGGAAATATCTGGGATATCCAATTTCATTACTTTCACGTTTCATTGAGGTTGATTTCATTTAGGTAATTAAAATTGCATTATCATTTACTCTTCTTTGTAAGAGAAATGTATGAACTGGTAAATAATTATTCATTATAGTTCATTGCCCTTTAAGAAAAGTCTTTTATCCTGCATGGAACTTCTAATAAAAATATTCTAATGTCTTTCTCTTGAACTGTAATCTCCAATCCGTCTGCCAAATGTGGTGATTATGGTGGTGGTGGTATATTATGGCAATGGAAGTTTTTTTATGGGGGGAAAATCTTCGAATGACTGCTCCCGCCTGGGTGAGGCGGGAGCAGTAATTCAGTCAGTAAGAGTCTGACACTCCCGTCAGACTCTTACTGACTAAAAACCACCCCGTTCCTTCTCCTGCACGGCGACCCGGAGCCCCGGTAATCTGTTAGGATGGTCATCGTCTGTTGATGATAATAATAATAATAAATACCGAAATTTATTTTTAATCTGATTATAGAAATCGACACTATCATTTGACATACAATGTACACTTACACCATGTCACTTGTTGTGTTATTCTTCTCTATAAAATGTCCACCAGAATTCAAGGCGCCACTTGTCTTAAAATAGACAAAGTCATATTTTACTTGCTTGAGTCTATTATTAAGAGCGTAGTACCGTGCAATCATATAATTACCTCTATGTTCAGTAACAAAAGACGTTCTGTTCTCTTGTACTTTACCCATGTATTATTATACTCAAGCCACTCAATAAAACACGGAAAATAAAGTAATTGTCTAATTGTACACTTGTATTTCCAAGTAAGGGTAAATAATGAGTACATATTTACATTTTTCACAAGCGCATTATAATGTTAATCAGCTTTCCACCTGTCTGCGATTTCCCCAGTGGAATTTCCACTTTTCCTGCTTCTGGGGAATTCCGTAATATTATCACTTATTGTTTTCCCTGAATTACAAATAACTTTTTCTGCCAAGTATGGGGATTATGACACATTCCTCCCCTATACCTTTTTTGTTGACGGGGGGATCCTTGAAAACGGGCCTACCTTTTTGAGGAAAAATACCTATACCTATCTCCCCTTGAGCCTACGACGCGACGCGTCGCGTTCCGCACGTGCCTTAAAGAGCCATCAGACCACCACGGATCTGGCCCAATAGAGATAAAGTCAGTAAAAGTCTGACACCCAGGCGGGAGAAGCGAAGCCATTCGATGATTTTCCCCCATTAAAAAATACCTACTTGCCAAGATTTTCAAAATTATTATAACGTCGCTTCCCAAGTGTGGTGATTATGACATTGACAACCCCCTTCTCTTCTTTCTGCACATCTCTGAGTTAACGTTGAAGGAAACTATCGCATTTTCGTACCATTAAGCATAAAAATATAGAAGGTACTCTTAAGTACGTATGTGTAGTGAAGTGACATACATACCTACATAATATGCAGCAACGTATTAGTAGTTAGTTACGAAATATTGTCAATAATTGTTGTAGGTGTACCACCTACCTATTATCTGATTGTGCTGGCCTTCTTACCTATAATACCAACCTTTATATGTTTATTTTATACATAGTTATATTATTTTATCACGCGAAAATATTTATGAGGTCAACATTTTGATTCAACACTTTTTGGAGTTAAACTAACTCATTATAACTTTCGTGAGACACTAAGTTATTTATTATGTTTTCGGTTTACTCACGTATCGGTTTGATGAGGAACTCGACTAGTTTCAAGTCATGCTAGAGGCTTATACTCATGAGCAGCATTTCGCGACTCTTATTGAACTTAAACTCATGTTTAAGTAACTTCTTTTTTTAAGCTATATCTTGCAATCGGCTTCAAAAGCCCTTAGCAGATTTCTTGAATTCATTTCTGATTGATTGAAATAAGCACTCCTACTTGTAATTTATCACCATTTCGGGGTTTCGAATGGCAAACATGTGTTTTTTCAATAAAGTAATACTTACTAAAGTGTTGAAAATAGGCTATACATTAATTACATTTTATTTACCAACATATTATAAAGCCAATGACCTAATACGTTCATGGTTTTATTTTGTTTACACAGGAAAATTTATAATTTTATTATTTTGAGCTTGTATTTTTACTTAACGTTTGGTACACCGGTTGAATTAAAATAGAAATGCGGTAAGCCTCCACAACTTTATCAATGACTAATATTCTTCATTAGGCTTAAACTGTCAAACACCAAGCGGTCACCGGTGACCGCGACCTATTGTTCTTTAATTGTGTCTATAAAACCGGTACTCGACGAGTTAAAAACATTGCATGGCAAATAAAATTGACAATTAATTCACAATGTGTAATGTTGTATTTTAAACTTTTCGTTGACCAAGTGAATGCAAAACCAACTAAAAATAGAAACGTAATAGGTAACTCGTAGTATTTAAGTTGTGTTATATTTATAAGCGCCCATGACACAGGACAAATATAGTGTGGGCCAACATTATAAAAAAATCATCCCGGTTTCGAAATTCCCTTCAGAATATTGACTAAATGACCTAATTAGAGGTTTTATAATGGGGCATAACTATTAGCTTTTGGGCAAAAGATTAGAGAGGTTCCTCTAACTTCATAAGGTAAGAATCCCTTTTCGTATTATCAAAACCTTCCCCTATGGTCACCATCAGTACCCATAGATAGCATCGGGTTCTTGGAAACAGATACCTAGTTAGATGATAGATAAACATTTGTTTCAATACAAATGTTCTATTAGCACCTATCGTTAAGACGTTCACGCTTCATCAGCTCAGTGAGTTGACAGCAATTTTCCTATTCCTATAATTTAAACATATCCAATCCAAGTGCTGTTATCTACATCTGGTGCACCTCCCAAACCATTACTCTCAATTTGTCAAATTGCCCCGTTCGTGTGTTCAATCATTTGATTCTAGAATGACAATTCAAATACCTCTGTACTTAATTCAATTACCGACCGTTTTTATTTGAAGATTGAAGTATTGTAGTCTATTTTGACCTTTATTGACCAATTGTAGGTTCTATTCGGTTGGAAAAATTAGTTAATTGTAGCTTTAGATACAGTTTTCTATGTAGTACCTTTGTAAATGTAATGTTAATTGATGTAGTGACAGTTTTCATTCACATTGATTAAAAACGAAGCCGATATAGAACTTCCTTTTTTCAATTCGGCTACCAATGTTAGTACAATAAATGCATATAACTTTGAATCAGTTTACATTGAAACTAAACTATTTAGGTACTAAATGTTAAATATAATCTCATTGAAGTTGGTTCAAAAACAACATTGATACCACAAAAGAACTTCTGACATTTTGTAGTTAAACATAATTATTTTTTATGTTAAGTAGGAAATGTCAGTGGCTTTTATTGAATACTGTAAAAGAGAATTTTATATGAAAAATTAACATGAATTTTTCCTGCTTACTTGGTTTATTAATAAAATAACAATGTCTGTGCTACTTTTTATCATCATTATCAACCAGTCTTGCACTACTGAGTGTTGAACAATGGCCTTTATTAGGGGAATTGCCATAACCTCTACACTTGACCACAACTTGACAAGCTTGGCGATCGCAATAAGGTGCCTGAAAGCATATAAGTCTCAATGGATAATCCTAGTGTACATGCTTATCTAGATACAGACTATAGACTACCTAATTTTATGTCCCTGTTACAAAGCTATGCGGGCTGACAAGTTTTATAATTACATAATTATTGTTCATATAAAGGAGTACAATACAGTACCATAAAATGTATCGCAAATATGTAATGCAAATACATATTTATATTATACAAACAATTGGGTACTTTCCTTAATCAAAAATAAATTATTCCGACTGTCCAATACAATAAAATATTAAAAAGTAAAATCACACTTTTATTAATTGATTTTATGCTCTTTTATGCATTTGCTGCTCTTCGAGACGGAGCCCTGGCAAACCGTTGGGCCTTCCGCGGGTATAAACCCTACTGGGCCTGTGATGGTATGATGGCTTTTAGAGGCGCGCGCGGAATACGACGCGCCGTACGCACGGGTCAGGGTGCTTACTCTTGAAACCAATCTCAAGCCAATGCAATTTCAATCTAATAAAATCTCAATAATTATTCAATGTCAACACTATACAATCCCAATCGTAGCTGTGACAATAGCATTCAGAGTACGGAATATAAAGACAAACTCGATACCATTTAGTTCATTCAATATCCACGCAATACGGATGCAATGGGCGCTAGTGTTGTAACTCAAGAGTAAGAATTTCAACACTTTCACAATACCAATGTCTACCGATCGGAATTGGATTTAAGAGTAAGCCTCCTGGTTCTAGTTCTGGTCGGACGGCGAGCTACCCTTGCTCGCCGTCCGTAAACCCGCACTACCACGACACCATACCATGCCACCACACCACGATGATTATACGAATAGATATTAACATCTACAACTCAACAAGTAAATAAACAAATAAGAGATCAACGTATGAGTGGGCGTTATCTGCGCAGTAAACGACTATGCAAGTCAATTTTTAAGGTCAGCGTACATGGACGATCATAACAATTAATAACATTTGTGTTGTATGTTTTTAAATTATTTTGTTTTGTTCTTTGGCTATCTATTCTATACTATGGTTCCCTATTACAATGGGACTTTGATAGCCAGTAAAACAAGTACTCTTTTGTAACGAGCTTTATGTTATTGTGTACCTACTTAATGTAAACATCTTTAATTGAATTTTTCATTTCATTGTTTGTAATAAAATAGAAAATGTATTCAAGAAACGCTGGCCGTCATTGTATATCTAATTCATTTTGTTTCATTTCTTAATGCAATTTCCAAAAAGAACGGATTATTAAAACAATATCTGTAATTAAATCGGTGAAGTATTTTTAACAATATTAACAACTTAATCGCTTCACGTAAACCTGTCGAGGATGCTCGTCTGGTTTCAACCTTCGACCAGGGCTCATAGACATGAATGCTGAGGTTGATTTTGCACTCTTTGCTTTGTTTCCTAATTTCTGAATGAAATATTTTTCATTTTTTTTACAAAAATGATTCAATAATTTTCAAGTTAGTCCATGACAAAAAAACACATAATTATGTTACCTTTTCCCAGTTATAAGTACCTATGTTATGACAATCATCAGGTGATCTGAATTGCCCTTTACATTAATTAATATCTAGTCATGATGCGTAAGCAGCGCACGCGTCTACAGATAAAAACGTAACCAAAATATCTCATTTTACGTAATGTTTACTAAGTGACGTAACTATGTGATAATACGAGCAATCAAGTAAATACAAATTGTGATTTTTATCAGCATGAGAACTATGATACATTAATCTTATCAGATTCAAAGTAGTCTGTCTGTCAATGTTGAGAGCAATACTTTAATCTTTTTAACCAATTTAAATAAAAAGAAGGATGTACTCAGTTTGACTTGTATGTTTGTTTGTATGTTTGTTCGCTGATATCTCGCGATTGGATCAACCGATAGTGATGCGGTTTTCAAAAAAATGTTCGTTATAATCAGGAGAAGGTTTACGTATATTAATTAACCGACATCAAAAAATAAGGGTTAAAAGTGGGTTTTATTTAAAACAAATGCTCAAACCTTCTCCATGTGAGAAAATACCTTTGCTTAGCAGTGAGCACTTATAGACTCGTGATGACGATGATGATGATGATTCGTCAGCCAAGTGGTCGCAAGCACAACTGAGTAATAGGTCTCGGGTTCGATTCCTATATATGATCTACTCCTTCAGAGATTTAAAAATGTATCATTATAATGATCAAAAACAAATACGAGAAGACAATTCTATAACAATAGCTTCAAATGTTACAGTTAAATTAGATTAATTATTTCCTCTTGTGGTTTTTAACTCCAAAAAGTACGGACCATTAAAAATAAGTCATTGGTAACATTACAAGGCAAATTCAGCTATTTAATATTAATATTCACAATATTCCTACTGAATGGATGACGAAGCGGACACCATCAATGAATTACTCATAAAATAACACTCATAGTCTTTATCAATTTTATACTCTAACACTTAATGGCAATAGGTGCTTGATGTGTTTGGTTAAGTGGTTGGTCACGTGCTACTGTTAAGCTAGACATGTTGGGTCCTGTTTCTGAGTCGGACAAAGAGCTAATGAGTTTTTGGACTTAGAACAGAAGAACGGAATCCAGGATGAATTTTAAAAGAGACGGACCTCTGAGTTTTATTCGGCATTTCTTCGCTGACTAGTCAGTTAGGAAATGTTGACCTTATCGTTCGCTTGATAAAATGGACGTGTAAAAGTGCTACCTTGTAGCCTATTTGCAGAAATAAATTCACTTGTATGACCCTCGGTGTTTGGGAATAGGCTCTAATTAATAGAAATTCATTACCATTGCATTAAATACTTAGACAATGTACTGATTTAATTCAATAATTAAGAATGTCGTAAGGAAAAATATACCGGGACTCTCCATAAGTTACAAAACAATATATACTAGTCAAAACAAAATAAGGGCCACTTGTTATTTTTAACAGCGGTAGCGATAATTAATTTTTTCTGCGTACTCAAGTAGCTGAATGGTTATTACAGCGTTACCTTATTTGTTTACAAACATTTATTTAAGTGTGCTACAGGCATAACTCTGTGAAGTGAGCAGTTTTTGATAATTTATTGCACCTACTTGATTTTACCCGATTTTAAGATGGATTTTAACTCAGTCAAACTAACGATTCTGTCAAGAACAGTTTAGTTTTGTTTTACTTCTGGCTGAATTATTTCTTTAACAAAGATATGCCGAGAACCCGACGACATATGGACTTACCAACCGTCACTAGGGCCGTAACATTACTTCAAGAAGGCCATTCGCAGCGTTCTGTTGCTATGCAGCTGGGCTTTTCCCGGCGAGCAATTCAGAATGCTTGGTATCGATTTCAAGAGACTGGGAGACTAACCAGGAGACGGGGATCTGGCAGAAATCGAGCAACTACCGCACAGGAAGACCGCTACATACGTTTGACTGCGCGCAGAGAACGCTGCATCATAGCCCGTTCCTTACAAAACCGTTTGCGGCAGGCTACGGGTACACGTGTTAGTGATCAAACCATTAGAAATCGGTTACACGAGGACCAGCAGTTCTCTAGGAGACGTGTAGTGCGGATACCATTGACAAGTGCTCATCGTGCAAACCGATTATCGTTCGCAAGGCAGCATCTGGCATGGGATATGAGTGAATGGAGCACAGTATTGTTTACGGATGAGTGCAAAGTAAAATTTTTTTGTGATGACCGTCGCATTAGTGTCTGGAGGCGTGAAGGTGAGCGATTTTCGGATGCTTGTATCCATGAAAGGACAGATTTGGGGGCCCTAACGTTATGGTGTGGGGAGGAATCTCTACATCAGGTAGAACTGAGTTGATAATTCTCAATGAAGGCACAATTACAGCTCAACGTTACATCGAGGAGGTCATAAGACTTCATGTGGTCCCATATGCACAAAGAATCGGCGCAAGATTCCGTCTGATGCACGATAATGCTCGCGCTCATACAGCTAGGGCCACCAGAGAAGCTATAGAGGAGGCTGGTATACAGGTGCTGCCCTGGCCTGCAAACAGTCCGGATCTCAATCCCATTGAACACATGTGGGATTTACTCAAACGCAACGTTCAAAGCACAAACCAACCCGTGCACAATGAAAGACAGCTAATAAACATTTTAAAATCAAGCTGGGAACAAATTCCTCAAGAAACAGTGGTACACTTGGTGGAGAGTGTACCATCCAGGCTTCAAGAGTGCATTAGAAAACGAGGAGGGCATACTAAATATTGAGGAGTTACAATTCAACCAATATCTGATTTGTTTATTTTTTTATTTGATTCTGATTTCACACGTTTTGCTTGCAAAAATGTTAGGTTTTCAGAAAAAAATGGTAATTTTTTTTTTGGAATGTGTCTTTCTTCATTTTGTGCTGTTAATAATAAAAAACAGTTAATTTATCAAATCTAATCATTAATCAACACTTAAACCTCAAGATTTCATGAGGAAACTATAAAAACGTGGTGGCCCTTATTTTGTTTTGACTAGTATATTTTGTTACCTACATTTTTGGTAATTAAATTATTTCTGATTTCTAATCATCAATCAAGTTGTCCACTACTGAATATTGGCTACAAGGGGAATTCAATTCAATTCCTAAGTCAAACAAAGTATATTTTGGATATTTTGATTTCTCAATAATTTTCGGTAGGTAGTTACACTGTTCCCGTACCCAAAATAACGCCCAGTGTGTAGCAATAGCGGCTATATTTTTTTGCTCAGTAGATGGCGCTTGATCAGTCTTGGTCCAATAGGGAATGAGCTAGTGTCAAACGATTGGACGTTTAATTTTTGACAGATACAGTGATTGGACAAACACTTCTTGCTAGATTAGTGGTGGGCCAAAAAATGGTAGCCCCCATAAGCTCACCTCCTTATGGGTATCATGACTGTCGAATAATGGGTATCACATTTAACACACACACTCACACACACATATATATATTACCAGTATTTTATTTATTATTTATTTTATTTTATGTTGTGTTGTAAATGTCTTATTTATTTTATATTGTATGTTTTGCTTATTGGTATTAATTGGTAAATTTGAAATGTATAACGCCTTGGTTTTATGACTGTAATGTTATACTATTTAATTGAAATAAATAAATAAAATAATTAAATAAATTACATCCATCACCAACATTATACTCATTAAACGCGTTTCTTTCCTCTTATATAACCATGTTTAAACGGGAAATAAATACGTTTGTCAGTTTCCACAGTTGTCGTTGCCGAATTTCCTGTTCGTGTCATACAAACTCACGGAGGCTGGTACCTGTGTGACGACGAATCCTGCAGCCACGAAGTTTAAGGGAGATGACTCGGCTGACCCAAAGCAACCTTTGACCTTACGACTCAAGAATGTCTTGCAAGATGTCGAAGTGCAGACTAAGTAAGTAGTTGTTAGAAAACATGGGGCGTTTTGCAGGTTTTGCTTATTGTAGAATCCCTTGTTTTATGGGATAGGAAAACGTGGAGATCGCCTGGTGGCAAGCGAATAATACCGCCTATGGACACTCGCAACGTCAGAGGAGAAAGTAACAGATGCGTTGTCGGCTTTTAAAGTACCTAGTCCCTGGTTGAATAAATAGAAATGTAAAAAAATATTCTGTTTGACTGAGTAAGCTCTTAGTCAAGATCGGACTCGTGCCTTCAAAATCAATATTGGCATAATTGAAGTAGAAGATCCACTTCAATTATAAATGTCATAATGGTAACCTATTAGACCAAAGAAGACGAAGTTGATCCGTAGTAGTTGTAGTAGTAGTTCGTCTACACATTTTAATTCAAAGCTTAATCCTTTGTTCCAAAGTCTATATTCATATAATTATGCTAGGTATGTTGTATAATATTTTTTCTTAACTCCACAGAGCCCATCTCCAAGAGAAATTCCTATCGGACCTCCGCAAAGCTCGGGAGACATACAGCGGTAGTGAACTGGCAAACATGTTGCATGCCATGCGACGTCGGCTAGACGATCCAGCCGTCCTATCAGGGGACACAATACTCAACATGTTGATATCCTACCGAGAAATCCAGGACTATGACGCCATAGTACACGTTGTAGACGACCTCAAAACTATTATGAATAGGAAGAATTACGTGAATATGCCTATTATAAGGTTCTTGTACGCGTTTGCTATGAATCGGTAAGTCTATTTTGTATTCATTTTCATGAGCCTCTTTCTATGCACTGTTGAATGTATCTACTACAGGATAGAAGTTTCTCCAACAGCATTGTTCTGACCTGAATCTTCAACTGTCTGCATCAATTCATATTCATACATATGCCTTCCTAATTACAGTCTGCGCGTTCCCGTAGAATAAAAAGTAGCCTATGTGTTATTCCTAACCATAATCTAACCCTGTTCCAAATTTCATCCCTATCCGTCCAGCCGTTTTGACGTGATAGAGTAACAAACACACACACATACATCTACACAAAGTTTCGCATCTATAATTTATTTATTTATTTACTTATTTATTTACACTTTAATGCACACAAAATAAGGTACATAAGGTGGACTTAATGCCATTTGGCAATATTAGTAGGATGACAAATATCCAGTTGTATGGTGATAATCTTCCAAATCAAATCATTCATTTTGTTTGCAAACATGGGTTAGAAAAATATACAAAAGGTGTTTAATATATAATTAATTATTAATATAATTATAGTATGGTTCTCCACATTTTGCCGTTATGGCAAGCAAATAATGTACAATGAAGTACATACAAGTATTTCCTAATCAATTTATCTACAAGTTTAACTGACACAACCACATAAAATATACAATAACAATTAATTAAGAATTAAAATGAATTAAATTATTGAATGTCAAGAAAGATGAAATTAAAGGTATATTATACACGTCAATAAGTTATCATTAAGAAAGTCGTCATCGAAGAAAGGGCAAAGAAAAAGATTCCAAGTTAACATCAAAACAACTTTTTGGCTACACTGTAACCTTGTAGCGTAGTATAATAAATAAAAATCTATTGTGTTTAATAAATAGCCAATAGACAATACTAAGATAAGTGTTTCATTTAATCGAATTTTTATTAGACGTAATTTTTGAATGGACAAATACTTTTGCGCAATATGTAAATGGTGTAGTTTCTTAATAGTATAAAGAAACTGCAATCAGAAACAATAAAGTTAACTTTGCGTCACAATGTTATATTTTTTAATAACAAAAATTCAATACAATGATAGCTGTATTACTTTTCTAATAACTTACAATAGTTACTTTGATACTATTTATAAACTATTACTACAAACGAATACTCTGATTTATATTGAAAATTATAAAAAGACTTGAGTATTATTATTATTAGATGGTATTGCTTGCGGTTACATTTTAATCTTTATGTCCTATTCTATTCATGACGTCGCGGAGAACCTAACGGGTAACCGGGGCTTCGGCTCGACGTGCAGGAGAAGGAACGGGGTGGTGTGGTCCCGCGTGGCCTCACCCAGGCGGGAGCAGTCATTCGATAATTTTCCGCCATTAAAAAAAAAAAAAAAATCTATTCATGACGTGACTGTCCTATAAAGACTCGTAGCCATTTTGTCCTTGGTACCGCTCATGTGGAACCAGTACAATATACATAACAAAAAATGAATTAAAAGAGACTATTTTGAAGTTGTTACTATGAGATTGAACTAGCATCTATTAAATAATAAGTTCAAATTAAATTTATTTATATGTATAGTTTATATTTTGTATGTATTTATTTATATATTACCTTCTGCCCGCGACTTCGTACGCGCAATCCCATTTTCCCCCGTTCCCGTTCGTGATTTTCGGTAAAAAGTAAAAAAAAGTGTTGTTTAAAAAGTGTCCTATGTCCGTCTCCTTGTTCTAAGGTACCTCCCTGCCAATTTTCATCTAAATCGATTGAGACGTTCTTGAGTTATAAATAGTGTAACTAATACGAATTTCTTTTATATATATAGATTGTATGTATTTGTTTGGTTATTTATCAGTTTAGTTTTAAGTCTGTTTCCTATCCCAATTTTCTATTTGTTACTACACACTGTGTCACTATATTATTATTACTTTTCCTGCTCCAGGTCCACAGGAAGAAATTCCAATAGGAATAGGTGGTGCCTTTGTACTTAAATTTTATGTATTTGTCGTCCTTTATGTTGTATGTGTGTACATAAATAAATAAATAAATAAAATGTTAAACACCTTGAACGCCATGGGGGAGAAGGTATGGGCCACGATAGCGGAGGATTTAACCTCAACAGTTTTCTATCGGCAGTCAAAGGCTTAATGTCGCTGGATAAGAACAATGTTTAGAATAAAACAAAACTAGTAGTGTTATTTTATTTATTTACTAGCTAACGAATGGAAGTTTGTTTTATTTATATAGACTAATATATTTATTTAAAACAACATGTAGAACAGTACACATTACGTGTATAAATTAAATGTAGATCTTTAATTTGGCAATAAATTCACCTATGCACTGCTAAATACAACTCAAAATCATCATCAACAGCCTATAAATGTTCACTGCTGAACAAAGCCTCTTCTCACACCGAGAAGGTTTGAGCATTAATCACCACGCTTGCTCAATGCGGGTTGGCGATTACAAACTTATAATTAGAAATTATAAGCCCAGGTTTCCTCATGATGTTTTCCTTCACCGTGTGTCAGTGGTGTCTAAATAATCTTAGAAAGTACATATAACTCGGAAAAAGTCACATTGGTACTTGCCGTTGGGAGGTTTCGAACCCGCATTCTCATGCATGAGAAGCCAGCATCTTAAACCTCCGGGCCGCCACGACGTATATATCTTTGGTTTGGCTATAAATTCACCTATTAACTGCTAAATGGAACTCAAAATACAACTACAAAATTTAGGTGTCAACTTTAAAAGTACGTGTCCTTTGGAAAATAAAAAAGACTTAGCGTTATGAATATCTACTAAATCATCATTGTAATCCCACTCACATCAAATTCATATTCAACTACAAATATATATTTTTTGTGTATTTTATTTCCAAAGCTTACTATTTACAAACTTCTTTGTAAACAAAGTTTTTATTATCTCTTTACAGGCGGAATAAAGAGGGTGACAGGGAGAATGCTCTACGAGTATGTGTGAAAGCGTTGGAGAAGAAAGAGAATAGGTTTCCAGACATGTTGTGTCTGTGTGGCCGTATATACAAGGACAAGTTCGTTGAATCTCAGCACACTGACAAAGAAAGTTTGGGGAATGCAATACATTGGTAAGTCTTTTGTATTTATTTATTTACTAGCCCGCGACTTCGTACACGTAATCCCGTTCCGGTATTAATTTTCGATAATAAGTAATACAAAAAACATTGGATAAAAGGTATCCTATGACAGCTCCTGGTTATAAGCTCTCCCCATAAAATTATCATCCAAATCGATTGAGGCGTTCTTGAGGTATAAATAGTGTATAACTAACACGACTTTCTTTTATATATATTATTATAGATTTTAATTCCTCATTTTATCTTTAGTAGGGCAAGTAGTAACGACGATTATTAAATAAGTACAAAAACGATCAAATTTAAATACCTATACCTTTTTGTTAGCGACTGGGCGAACGACTGCTAATGCTGCAATGTGTCGTGGTTTCGATTCCACAGATCTATTTTGTCTGACTCTGATTTCTAAATTATTGTTTCGTGTCTTAGTCAAATTTTTTTTTAAATTTTTTAGGTACAGACAGGGTTTCGAAGTCCAGCCAAATGAGTATGCAGGCATCAATTTGGCAACACTTCTAGTTATAGCTGGCAATGACTTTAAAACTTCAGAGGAATTGCAACACATAGGTAAGTGACCCATTCGACAAAGAGTTTACTATCAAAAATTCGTCAGTAACATATTCTGAGTTAATATTCAAATGAAATAAAATAGACAATCAGTCAACGTTACCAGTTTACACGTATTTATTTTAGTACGTATTTTTTAACCCATCGCGTGTCTAAACGTGGATCCACGCGAGACACCATGTATTTTCTATTGTGTCTTGTATACGGGCATTTAAGTAGTTAATGGATAAAGAACAAAAATCTTCATCATAACTTTGTAAACTATATCAAAACGAAAAGCAATAAGCCATACGTTTCTCTACATATATTAGATGATTCTACTGCCATCTATCCACACTATTAGGAAGTGTGATATTTATATTCTAGTCAGATCCATTATCAGACTTTCGACCTTTAACTCGAATCTATTTATTAACCTATATTCTAGCCTAGACATATTTCAAATGCCAATCTTTCACGGACATCGGTCAACTGCCTATTACTCACAAATTCTCTACATCCAAAGTGCCTACTACGAGTCTGTTTTACACGCATTCAGCACGTTACCGCGTTAAGCCCTCTGATTGGTTGATTCACTTAGAGCTGGCCAATCAGAGCGCTGAACGTCATAAACGTGTCAATCGCGTTAACGTAGAACAAACTCGCTCTAGGCATTATGTTCTGGCTTACAGCCAGATAGACAAAATGTCTAATGGATTATTAATTTTATGTGCCCATAAATCATGGAGTACTTGAATTTAACATAAATTGTATGTAATTATATTATTACGGTTTGTTTTATCTTTTAATTTGGGTTAAATTCCAAAGGAGTTTGTCATTTGGTATGTGGGTAACGTTAGTACGAATTGGGACAAGTAATAGATAACCTCAATACAGTACAATGTACCGGTATTTGATTGTCATGCTGCTATTTAGTTTAAGCTAATATACTAATGGGTTCACTGATTTTCTATTGGAATATATAACGTCTTTTTGTCGTTGTTCTTCGCCAGAAGAAAATATCCTTTTTTCCTCCAGCCCCAGTGTATTTTTTAACTGAATATTGGGAGAGGGGTCTCAAAAGATTATTGATAAAACTAACCCAAATTCATTTTAAACCTTATTTTACATACAATATTATGTACTTTTCGTCTAAACTCGTTGTGAGCTAGAAAATATCACTTGCGACCGTTGCGTAAATTTAAAAAACAAGAATTTAAATTATTTTTTTAAGAACACAAGTATTCTCTTTTCAAAATTGGTTAAGGAGTTAAATAGTATAAAGGTTTATATTTTACTTCCAGGTATGGTACTAAACCATTTAATAGGTAAGAAAGGCAGTCTATCATCACTGAAGGAGTACTGGGACGTGGCGACGTTCTTCGAAATATCAGTTCTAGCACAAGACTACGTTAAGGCGATACAGGCAGCAGAATGTATGTTCAAACTCAAACCACCGAATTGGTACCTCAAATCCACTATTGGAAATATTGAATTAATTGATAGGTAAGAACTGTTTGCCTCATGGCCAAGAAGGCCTTTGTTTTGTTTATTTGATAGGGCAGCAAATGAACTGACAGTCTCCTGATGGTAAGCAATCGATGCCAACTATGGACACCTTCAAAACTAAAGGGCTTTTTTTGAGGGAGTAAATCACCCAATGACTTCTCCCGCCTTGGTGAGGCGAGAAGGAGTGTCAAACTCTTACTGACTAAAACCACCCCGTTCCTGCACTTCGAGCCGGAACCTGAGATTGTGTATTGTGACGTCACGTTTTTTTACGTCAAACAGCGTACTTATTTCTTAAAAGGTTGCTGGAAAAATACTAAAGTTAATTGGCCATAATATGAAATAATGAAAGTGTGATTATGTTTTAATATTTTATTGTATTGTACAGTCGAAATGAAGTGAAGAAAGAAAGAAGAAAAGTGGGTGTTACTTCTGTGTGCACCTCTGGCTACCCCTTCGGAGATAAAAGGCGTGATGTTATGTTATCAGTTATTTAATATAGCTTTATATGGGTTTCAGGTTTAGGAAAAGTGAAGAAATATCACCGGAGCAACAAGTGTTCTCGTTTTGGATGGAATACTTCGTAGAGGCAACTAAAAGCGAATGTGAAAACATCATCAGGTTTCCTGTAAGTATCGTAAAACTATACTTTACCTTTAAAAAACCTACAAAAATTAGTTTTCATATAAATGTAGTACTCTATTATAATTTGTAAAGTGACCTGCTAATGACTCTACTCTTTGTACTGCACTGCACGATTGGCGCAATGTATCTTAGTATGGTGCCCTGCCGGGCAAGGGGTCTCGGGTTCGATTCCCGGGTCGGGCAAAGTATTACTGGGTTTTAAAAAAAACTCAGTAGTAGCACTGTGTCTGGTATATGGCAATAGGCTCACCCCCTATTACATGGGACTCATAACATAAATAGTAAAAAGTGGGTGTTAAATTGTACGGTGGCATAATGTACATCTCTACCTACCCCTTCGTGATGTTATGTATGTTATTATGAAGATTTAAAAGCAACCTGTTTGTAAAACTGTTTTCTTTACGTTTTCCAGGTGTTAATATTGGAAACAACAAAAGTTTACATGCCATCATATGTGAACGTCAACATGGGCGCTGAACAGAAATCTGTGGAGATACTCAACTTATGTCTGGATTCTATGCGCGGGGAATGTCGACAGGTCCATCGGTGGCTGTTCACTTCTGACATGATCAGGAGTTACAGGTACTTATTTATCATAATATACAATTATCAACACGAGCATGATACAATAGTCTTGTTTGACCATAAGAAGGATATTCGTGCGTGGCTGACTGACTGAAATAAAAATATAGACTGCCTCGTTGGCGAGTGGTCGCAATTGCGAAACGTTAGACAAGGTCTACCGGGTTTTTAAAAAAAATCTCTGCAGTAGCACGGAGTCTGGAAATGTGCCCGGTACTTGGCAATAGACTCACGCCCTATTACATGGGGCTCATAACATAAATAGTAAACTGAGTGTTACATTGTACAGTGGCTTTAAGTGCCGTAATATCTCTGCCTACCACTTTGGAGATAAAAGGCGTAATGTTAATAATAATGTCTATAATACGTACTTGGGACTCTTATCATATTTTATGAAAGGTAGGTGATACATTGTTGTATGTAATAGGGTAGATGACTAATTTTTATTTTAAAGTCCGTCTAGTATATTATTTAAAATCATTAGACACGTATTTTTATTTTTTTACAGAAACGAATACTTTCGATGGTATATATATTGATTTGAAATGTCGCGTGACGTCACTTCTATGTACATTTTATATACGTAGAAATGACGTTTTAGCCCGCACTCCTAAACTTTGATTCGTTTTATCTAAGTATCATTTTATTATACGACAAAATAAAAAGAAAATATTTTTTCATTACCTAACTGACGGACTAATTAGATTTTTAATGTTCATACCCTGTCATCATCCTTATTATGATATATCATCAACATCATCTTCGGCCAGTGTGATTGCTGCTGAAGACCTCCTACTGAAACGAGACTTGATGATCTAATATTTTTAACTAATAATTTTAGGACATAGGTCCCCAGTTCCATAATTACTGTACTATATACAATCAAATATGTAATATCCTAAATCTTTCTTCCAGTTTATACAAACGCGATGAACGATGTCTGTTCCTATACGTGAGCGAGAATTCAGACGACTTCCAAATCTTCTTACCGTCGCAGGCGTGTCGTCAGCGGTTACATGATCTCCTCGGCGAATTAACTGCTGACCATGAAAAGGTCACGGATTTGGATACCAGTGTCATGCAGGATCAGTTGAAGGTACGAAATATTTGTTATAAATTGTAACTATCCTAAAACTGATTTGCACTTACGGTATAAACCTTCAAGAAAAGAGCATATTCCTTTTTAAAAGGCCGGCAACGCACCTGTAACTCCTCTGGTGTGACGGGTGTCCATGGCCGGCGCTAATCGCTTACCATCAGGTGATCCGTCTGCTCGTTTGCCTCCTATTCCATAAAAAAATTACAGCTCTGGGAACCGGTATGCCACTCTAATAATTAGATCATACAGCGCTACCAAAACAAATTGCTAAAGGTACTGATTAATGCAGCATCGTTCACACGAAACACGGAAGTGCAAAAATATCTGCAGATCCCGACAGGCAAGGACGAAATACAGTGTTCATCTGTGTCTTACAAACGACGACGATTAGTAACTCAAAACAAAATTTGATACTAATTTACTTGCTATTTTAAAACAAACCAGTTGTTTTGTATTTATTGATGTTTTTGTAGTTAGATCGGGATTTTTTTACCAAAACCGAAAATGATGAATATCTTAGAAACTAGCCACTTTCGGACTAGAGACCTCAGGGATATTTTTGTAAGAAATTAGTTGTATTATCACCTCCCGAGAGGAATACGTCGAGTTACAAGTCACCCTATATATCTTTTTCTTGTCTTCGATATCCTTACTAATATTATAAATCTGAAAGTGAGTTTGTTTGTTTGTTCCACCTTCACGCCATAACTACTCAACCGATTGCTTTGAATTTTTGCAGACGTAAAGTTAGAAGTCCGGATTAAATAATAGGGTACTTTTTAACCCGGAAAAAAATTGATATTTCCGAGGAAAAACAAAAGTATTGGTATAGATGGCGCTGTGTGTATTGGTATATGTCACATAGGGTACTTTTATTCTTTTGTGACTCGAGCGAAGCAGCGGGTAAAAGCTAGTATGTATAATATTGCAAAAAAATACAATTCTCTCCTCACATTATCACATATCACATCTCCTCTCTCCACAGTTCGAATACGAGTTAGACGACAACAACCGTCGAGTAGTCCTAGGTAAAGGAACATACGGTGTAGTGTACGCGGCGCGAGATCTCAACACACAAGTACGTATCGCAGTCAAAGAGATCCCTGAGCGAAACCTCGGAGACGTCCAGCCGCTGCACGAGGAGATCCTGCTCCATTCACAGCTTAGGCACCGGAATATTGTGCAGGTATGATTATTATATTTACGCTTTGTTCTATTTTACTAAGAATTTCAATTCAATGTCTAATGCCAACAATATATACTTTACCCAATCCTGGGATAAAGCCCTAAATATCTTGGTTGCAATTTTGTAACTACTCGACCAACTTAATTTGATTCAAGCCCCATTTTATATAACCTCCGATTAAGATTTTGTTAGCTTAAAAATTTGTCCTATATAAAACGTGTCATCAATATAAATGTGTCGGTTAAGCTTTAACACGCATTGAATCTAAAAAACTATAATCATGAGAATTCCGTACGAAGTCTATCACTAATCACTAGACTGCCTCATTAGCCGACTCTCGGGTTCAATTCCCGCAGGCAAAGTATTACTTGGTTTTTTATAAATCTCAGTAGTAGCACGGTGCCTGGAAATGTGCCCAGTATATGGCAATAGGCTCACCCCCTATTACATGGGACTCATAACATAAATAGTGAAAAGCGGGTGTTACATTGTACAGTGGCATGAAGTGCCGTAATGTGCACCTCTGCCCTGTGTCTATCACTAATATTTGATTACTCTTTAAATTAATGAATGTCTATGTTTATTTTCAGTACTTAGGTTCAATATCGGAAGACAACTACTTCAAAATATTCATGGAGCAAGTCCCTGGAGGTTCGCTCTCAGCTCTATTAAGGTCCAAGTGGGGTCCACTCAAAGAAAATGAAGCCACAATAGCATATTATACTAAACAAATTTTGGAAGGTGAGTGAAATTAAGTTAATTTTCCTTTTAGTATCCCTGTGTTATCGTTTTAACATCCTTAAAAAGTATGTAACTCTTACTTTTTACATCCAGACTAAAACCTTTTTGAAAATGATTAGTATACACCTGAATATTGAAAGGCTACTCAATTAAGTTGTACTTAAATATCGTGCCGTCTATATTGGGACTACCCAATTCTTTGTAAAATGACAGATTTTACAAAGAATTGGGTATATTCCTGGGTCAAAAATAAATTATTTTGATTTTTCAGTCCAATTAAATATTGAAAAATAGTTACACTTTCATTCATTGATTTGCCAATATATTCTAGCATTTTTTTTAGATATAAGTGTGCTGTTTAACGCGAAAATATGATGACGTCATAAGCTGGTATTTCGTACAAAATTTATAGAACAGTATCGTTTTTGTCAGTTTGAAAAAAGTATTGAATTTGACTAGTTGGCAATTACCCAATACGGTAGTTGACTGTTTTCTATGAATTTTGTACGAGATTGTGTATTGTGACGTCACGTTTTTTTGTAGCGTCAAACAGCTTAATATTTCTTATAAAATTGCTGGCGAAATACTAAAATTAAGTTGGTCATAAAGTCAATTAATTGATGTGTCATTATTTTTTAATATTTTATTGTATTGAACATTCGAAATACTTTGTTTTTGATTAAGGAAAGTACCTAATTTGTAATAACAGAACTATACTTGGGTATGTACTATGCCTTTTTGGGATAATAGATGCTATACATACAGGTGTAAAAATTCAAACATCATACTTTTAATGCTTCTGTCCAGTTTCTTCCTACGGTTGGTGCGGTGGCTATGTAACCGGCTACCGTGTAACGTGTCGCGGGTTTGATTCCCGCACGGAATAACACTTTGTGTGATCCACAAATTGTTGTTTCGGGTCTGGGTATCATTTTGTATGTGAACTTGTATATTTGTAAACGCACTCACGACACAGGAGACAATCCTTGTAAAAGAAAAAAAATAAAAAAACTTGTTATTAATATATAAACCTAACAAATATTCCAGGTCTCAAATACCTTCACGACCAGAAAATAGTACATCGAGACATCAAAGGTGACAATGTACTAGTGAACACTTATAGTGGAGTCGTTAAAATATCGGACTTCGGTACATCGAAACGTTTGGCCGGGTTATGTCCTTCCACGGAGACATTCGCTGGTACACTGCAGTATATGGCGCCTGAAGTCATTGATAAAGGGCAGAGGGGATATGGAGCGCCGGTTTGTATTTTTTATTATCCTTTTTTATGTAATACTAGCTGTTGCCCGCTACTTCGTCCGCGTAGAATATGAATTTGAAAACCTTACTATTTTTTTGTTGTAATTTCCCAAAATAAAATTAGCCTATGTTACTCCTTAGTATAAGCTTAAGCTTAAGCATAAGCTACCTGCCAATAAGTCTTGCAAAATTAGTCCAGCCATTTCAGAGATTAGTCAGTACAAACAGACAGACAAAAATTGTAAATAAATGTTATTTTGGTTTGTGTATCGTATGAATAATAATGTATATTCATATGCAGGTAGTAAAATGCAGTTATTTTAATATTCCGGAAATACTCTGTATAGATGTCGGCAACCGAATATACGAATGACCTGATGGTAAGCAATCAGTGCAAGAGTTTTTAATATATTTTATAGTAATATTTTCGTTGGCATCGAACTAATAGAAAAAGAAACTTTGTAAAGTGAATAGTTGTCATATATTTAATAACTTATGTAATTATTGTATACTTTCAGGCCGACATCTGGTCACTGGGTTGCACAGTAGTTGAAATGGCGACAGGAAACCCGCCTTTTATCGAGTTAGGATCTCCGCAGGCAGCTGTTTTCAAGGTAAGCAATTGAATATTTGTTTTTATTATATAAGTATTCTCACCAAAAAATTGGATTATCTTATACTTGTTTGTTTGTTTGAACGCACTAATCTCCGTAACTACAAGTCTGATTTTAATAATTCTTTTTGTGTTGGATAGTGCATTTATCGAGGATGGCTATAGGCTATAAAACATCACGCTACCACCAATAGGAGCTGAGCAGAGCGTGTGAAACCGCGTGGAAGTAGCGTAGTTATTAGCGTGGGAGATAATCGTGTTCAAACTAACAAACAAAAAAACAAACTCTTCCGCTTTATATAATATAGTATAAGAGTATAAGATTAAACCCTCGGTTCTTCTGCTCTGCTCAGTTCCTATTGGTCGTCTTGCCCTGCTTTTATAGCCCTCTTCGATAGATGGACTATCCAACACAAAGAGATTTTTTCAAATCAACCAATAGTTATAGAGATGAGTGCATTTATACTTACAAACAAACAAATTCTTTAGCGTTTTATAATAATAAAGTATAAGATACACTATATCACTTAAAATTTGGTATCTTCAGGTTGGTTACTACAAGGTGCACCCAGAGATTCCAAGCGAGCTATCAGCGAAAGCCAAGAACTTCATTCTCCGTTGCTTCATACCAGAGCCAGAGAAACGAGCGACCGCAGCCGAACTATTAGAAGACCCTTTTCTTTGCGAGTAAGCATATGTTATTAATATTATTCATACAATTTTGATTATGACCTACGTATTTATAATATTACCCGACATAAATTATAGCCGGATTTGTTGTGGTAGTAAGTTTGCGCATTTTCATAATAATTGTCACTTTAATTTTCAACACAAACTCCTTTCCTTATTAGTTCATTAACTTTCTAGTTGACTTGATTAATATTAAATAATGGCATTAATTTTCTACCACGATAAACCTACAGCTGCATAGCCAAATGCCGTTTAGCGCTTGTCTACATGTAGAATAGAAAACCAAATTATATGGAATTGACGTAAATTTTGGCACTTGACAGTGTCATCCCCATACATTTTGATTTCTACTCTCTCTCTGTAGACAAGCGCTAAAGCGGTGTTTGGCTAAAGGCCCTGGTCATTGTTTGACGCAATCAAAATTATATTCAGTCATGTCTGTTAAACAAATCACCTATTTCTATACTTAATCTGTGCTCGGAATGCAATACAAGATCAAAATGTTCTATAAGTAGTAACGATATAATCTAATAAATTGATTCCATTCTAATTTCAAAATTAAAAGATTCTATTTTCGTTTTTTTCCTAATGTAGTAAAAGATATGTTTTAAAAAAGTTTCAATCATTTTACCATAGACAATATAATTATACTCAAGTGCTATCGTATGTAAGTGCATGCACAAGTGCTATTCTCAGTAAAATAATTGACAACTGACATTGGTTATTATTAGCGATTCTATTTGACGTAATAATAATAAAGGTGCCAAATGATATTCTAATAAAAAGACAAATGTGATAGTGCAATATGAATCTGTAGTAAATATATGTAATAATTTATATAGAGTTTTAAAGCCTCATAAGTAGTTTTAAATATTTTAATATTAAATGGTGTCATAAATAAAAACGACGTTTGTTTGCAAGCGTCAGGCGATTCGTGCGTTCCGCTCAATCGTCCCCAATCAAGTGAGTACCTAACTACGAAGGCGACTCTTGCGCATACTATATCGTTGTTTGATTATATTTAGTTTTTGTGAGCTGTCGATTGTATTTAATTTGCCAGTATGTTATTTTTATGTCATGCTATTAAAATATACTTTATAGGTGTTGAAATTCTTATATTATTACATTTTTTAGTATTTAAAGTTGATATAGTTAGTTCTTATCCTCTACATTAGTGTATTTAAGTTGTTTCTTATTAATTGTCGCTTGTTATCACCGAAAATTTGTTGCAAATTGGTAACAAATAGGGATGATGACAGGGTATGAAATTAAAAATCTAATTAGTCCGTCAGTTAGGTAATAAAAAAATATTAGACACGTATTTTTTATTTTGTCGTATAAGAAAACAATACTAAGATAAAACGAATCAAAGTTATAAATCGTACTCAAAAGTGACGTCATGCGATATTTCAAATCAATATATTTTCGAAATTATTCGATCCATAAGAAAATAAAAAATACGTGTCTAATGTTTTTAAATAATCTACCAGACGGACATTAAAATCAAAATTAATCATCTACCCTATTAAGCTTAAACCGTATGACGAGGTTAATGGAACTCTAAGGGTGAATAGATACAGAACGGGGTATTAGGAAATCATTCTAGTATCTATTCACCCCGTTTTAATATTACTTATACTTATGTCGGAATACTGAAACGCTACTCAATTTTAAGTCGCGCTTAAGTATAGTTCTGTCACTACAAATTCTTTGTAAAATGACAGAGACGGCACGATATTTAAGCATGATTAATATTACCTATACTTAATCTCATAATAAATAATTACAGAAAGAAGAAACCAACAAGTCGGCTTGGCAGTAACATGGATTATAGCCGAAGTATTTCAGTTCCTGCCGACAAAGCTCGCCCAGTTACAGCCCAGAAGAAAATCTCAGAACCTAGCATCGCCAGCAATCTACCAAGTTCACCAGAAATCGAGTATGTATACATTTATATACAGTTTGACTTAGCATATTGATTTTGCTTTAGAGTTTGCAAAGCATGGTAATTAAATGCCCTAGAGTTCTTTAAATAAAATGTAATCTTAATTATGTGTTTCTTGTTGCTGAGTTGTGTTTTCAGTAATAGATTACAGGGTTTTCTTATTTTTAAACTTGGTTATGCGCAATTATTGCAGGCGTAATCCGTTCTTGAGGCTCAAAGACAATCATTGTCTAAGAAAGATTATTTTGGCAATAACTATAGAATACGTTGTGACTGCGATCAAACTGTGTATAATAGATATGTTGAGTAAAGTAAGCACTTATTATTTTTTTAGTGTATATGTCAGTGATGATAATAATGTTGGAATCATAATCTCTTTAGTTTCTTTAGTAATCAAGATTTAGTTGTTTTTTGCTTAAAATGCAAATAGACACGTTCAACCGCAATCACAAAGTAACTCCCAAGTTACAGTACTTATTAAATTATTCTATATATTTATTTCTATATATAAATTCGACTCATAAAAATGTCTAAACACTGAAAATACAAACTCAACAACAAGAAACATAAAAGCATGAGTCTAGTAATTAAATTTTCTGATTTCAAATCGTTCCATACATGTTCTACGTTGTGTGATGTTCTCATATCATCATACATAATATGGTGAGTGGGAGCTTATGTATTGGGCGTGGACATATATAAATAATATATGTTAAATGTTGTATTGAGTTTTACATGAAATGTTATTAGTATTTGCATACATAAACTCATTCACACTCCACGACAAATTACATTTATGTTGTGATGCGGGATTTTTGGATCGAAAAATAAATTAAAACTAGAATATACGAATTTGAAGAAGAAATAGACTAAGTAAATTATTTATTTAGTAAGCAATAGTTTGGAAATTATCTACCATATAAAAATAAATCGGGTTTTCCTTCCTGACGCTATAACTCCAGAACGCACGAACCTATTTTGACGGTTTTGCAATCGTTGGTAAGTTCTCGGGCTCCGTGAGGTTTATAGAATTTAAAATAAATATAATTTTTTTATCACCAAACGAAATGTTACGAACAAAGCCATCTGGTGGCGAAACGGGGTTTGCCGGGTTTACTAGTGTCGTATAAATATGTCTATGCAGCATATAATTTAAGTAAAACTTACTTTAATGCATCCCAATAAAGTGACTATCAACTTATCAGTTGACGAACAAATTCAATATTACATTCTTCTTCGTAGTCGTTCTCTTCATTACTGAAGGTCGTATCTAGTCTAGTGCACGCGTCGCTTGATGCACAAACCTGCTCCAAACGGGCCTGTCTTAAATTATATTATGTGATTATTTAATCAACAAAAATCCCACATCACAACTCACAAGACTTTCCAATCAACATAAAAGTGTAACACTCTTACACCTTTATGAACAAGACACACAGAAAATGTAAAAAATTCAACCCTATAATAATATAATTTAACACAAAATGATCACATTTTTGACGTGTCAATAACACATGTCGTAACATTGTCGATTGCTTGGCACCTAAGCGTGTATTTTTTCATTTGTTCCCAATACAAGGGTGAAAACGATCCGGTCTAATCCTATCACTAGGACAGCCTCGTCGATGCTCTCACCAATACTGATATACCCACCGGACTTGTCCAATTGCAGGTAACATTCACTATTTTATAAATGCACCCAATTTGATGTTCAAAATTCATAGAATACTGTATTTTTTCGGACAAAATTTTGCAATTTTTTGATTAAAGTAATTTATTTCATACTATACTATATTTTTCTTATTCATTATCGAACAATATTTATGTAACTGTATGTGCACGAAATTAGAATCTATTTATTGCATAAAAATGCATAAAAGCATGAAAAATAAGGTTTAAAGTATAATCTTAAGGTATAGATTAAGTACTAGTATAAATTCGGGAGTAAAATATTGCATTCTATGAAACTACATCTATAGACGCTATTAATTACGAACAAATAGCGCACACGCTTCTTTAGTATCCATTAATTATTATATTTCAAGATGCTTCTAAGAAAAGTAAACCTTTATACGTGTTCATTAAAGTATAAAATATCTTACAAAAAGTTGCGCAACGATGCGCAAAATTGCGCAAACATTTTTCTTGTAAGCAACTTGAAATAAAATTATTTTAAAGACAATCCTGTTTTGTAAATGTTTTTTTTTATATTATTTATAGAATATTTTACACTTACAAATCAGGGTAAACAATATCTATCAGTGGTTTTTGTTATTAAATCGATCTAATCCAACTCAGTTTTCGTGTAAATGCTCAATATCATTACTAACGCTTATTGTAATAGAAACTAACCGTTATTATATTATATCCCATTTGTATACAAGTTGAACTGTTGTATGTTTAGTTTAACTTACAGGTTAAATAAATGTTATGTAACAATTTAACCACTTAATTGGTATTTTGTGATGATAGGTATATTTTCGGTGCGTATAAGCTTGTAGGAATGTCTATATTTAAAAAAAAACATATACCACTATAATTTAACTCGTCGAGTACCGGTTTTATAGACACAATTGAAGAACAATAGGTCGCGGTCACCGGTGACCGCTTGGTATTTGACAGATTAAAATCAATTGTTTATATTAAAACTTTCGTAAGACATTATCATGTTTTCGGCTTACCCACGTTACGGTTTGACAAGGAACTCGACTAGTTTCAAGTCACATTGCTACTGACAGTAGTAGCGCGACAGTCGCATCGCGGCTTGTGGAATGCTAAACTAGTCGAGTTCCAGTTCAAACAGTTACCTGAGTAATCCGAAAACATAATAATGAAACTATATTGTGTCATTAGCAAAAATAAATTATTGAATTTTAATTTACTCATTTGTTTTGTAGTATTATTAAGTGTTGATGAGATTATAAGCGCCTATTTTTGTATTTAAAAGAGCTGGTATTTACGTGCCGAAAATTGCCATTACAAAGACACCCTTACTGCTATTGAATTAAGGGTATTTCTAAGTCTGGTGGTATTAATACGTTGATATGATTATGTTAGTAATTGTATGGATAATATTTTAGTACTATGCCCAACACACCATCTACTGATGAAATGGACGGCAGCGATACTTTATTGAATCGCAGGAGTTCGTCGGGAGGGCTCTTGTCACCTGAGGTAAGCAATTTATTCAAATACATAGTTTGTTTAGTTTCCAGCCCGATTTATTCAAGGTCGAAGATCGGTTGCATAGTAGACATACGAATTAACGAAGTCTATAATCGTGTTCGTGTCGTGGTTGAAGACGCCAAGACGGCAAGTACCAATGTGACTTTTTCCGAGTCATATGTACTTTCTAAGATTATTTAGACAACACTGACATACGTGAAGGAAAACATCGTGAGGAAACATGGGCTTATAATTTCTTATTATAAGTTTGAAATCGCCAACCCGTATTGAGCAAGCGTGGTGATTAATGTTAAAACCTTTTCCGTGCGACAAGAGGCTTTGCTCAACAGTGGGCATTCATAGGCTGTTGATGAGTAATCGTGTTAATTTTCAGACCCAAATTACATTGATTAGTTGATATAATTATTTACTGCTACGATAACTATTGACTACTTTGTTGGTCGAATAGCCACTAGTTTGATTGCCAAGCAAGAGTTTTGGGGTCTAAGCTGGTCTGGTCAGCTCCAAACTGTATTAAATTTGTCCTCAAGGTTATTTTCTTTTTCCGTCTCCTCGACCAAATATTGGTATTACATTGTTCTCACATAATTGAACTCAACGAAATAATGTAACGAAAAATTGTATTGTGAACATGATTGAAAAATGGAACCTATGGAGTTTCTTGCTCGTTCTTCTCCGTAGGAATCTACACTTTGGGACGAGCAAATAGCTTCACTAGAGGACTGACCTACAGACTGACATTTTTTCTTATTATTTAATATTTAAATATTTTGTTTTGACGTTCAAAACTGCTTTCCTGGTCTAATTGAAATAAATGATTTTGACTTTGACTTTAAGCACAGCATTCCTCAATAAGCTCACCCCCTATTCCACGGGATTTATGACATATATCAAAAAGTGGGTGTTACCTTTTTACACTGTTTTCCAATATCATACATAAATTACTCATAATCCAATGACTTTGTACCTCCAGGTGGACATGCCAAACGTGCCTCGTTGTTCTATAGACGGCCCGGAACACGACGGCTTCTACTTACTAAAGAAGGACTCACAGCGGAGACTCACTCTCTCTCGTGTGTTAGAGCAGGATAGCGAGAAGATATGCTCCAAATGGATGCTCAGTATACACCAGGACTTTGGAACTACTGTGCTGACTATGGTAATGTATTAATACCTACACGTATATGTTATTATGTTCTTACGGTTAACGTCTCATAGTCGAAAATAACAAAATGAATTTTTACAGTTCAATATTTCGTATTCATTTACGAAATACATTTGTAGGAGTGATGTTAGTGGTTGTATATTTGTCCTAGAACACCATGTATTATGATGTTACATACATTTTTTAGCTCACATTTTCTACGCCTAGTTTTTTAGAGGATTTTTCTGATGAGAAATATGTTCAGAGGCACTATACTTATTACTTAGTCTTAACATACAGAATAAATACTCCATGCATCGGTAACCAATCAAACCTTCTCCCTTGACTAAAAACTTCCGATAAATCATAACGTTTCTATGTATCTATACATAATCATAATTGTTTTTACAGAACCACCTAGAAATGCTACGATGCGCCCTTAAAGAATACATAATGGATCAGAACAGGAATGTGATAGAGCAAGCAATAATAACTTTGAAAGAAGAATTGGACTTTGACTCGAATGCCATCAACGAGTTGCATTCAGCCATTTATATGTTCCAAGAAGCAGTTAATACTGTGTTAAGGATGCATAGCATAAAACCTCATTGGATGTTCGCTTTGGACAATTTGGTGAGGAACGCTGTCCAAGCTGCCATTACTGTTTTGTCGCCAGGTGAGTGATATAAAGATTTATAAATGAGTGAGAGAGTCATGCTTCGGTATAAATGGGCCGGCTCGACCGAAGTGATACCACGGCCTCACAGAAAACCGACGTGAAGCAACGCTTACGTTGTGTTTCGTCGTGTGAGTGAGGTTACCGGAAGCTCAATTACCTCCTCTTCCCCAATCTCCCCAACGATCCTCAAACACCTAATCCTCAAAAGGTCGGTAACGCACTTGTAACGCCTCTGGTGTTCCATGTGTCCATGGGCGACACCGATTAGTTACCATCCGGTGATCCGTATGCTCGTTTACTGGCTTATGCCATAAAAAACAAAATAAAAAGCCAAATTAGCCAGTTTTTACCTACTACCAAAATGACCCGTTTTTATTTCACGATCATAGGAATTTTGCATCTCTTAAAAGTGCCATACTTAACAGCTCAACGAACATTTGTGCAGAATGTACAATATTCTTTTTCAAACTTAATCGAATCACAGTCTAAAATAAAGTCTAAATATGTCAACTTGCATTGTCGTGTCCCGTAAATGATAAAGCAATTTTTAATAGGGTTAGGTATTTCAGCCGCGAAGGACCTTTTGTGTTCTGAAGTTGGGAAGTTTGGGTTGCCAGGGCTCCGGCTCCAAGAGCATAAATAGGAACGAGGTGGTTTTTGTCAGTGAGAGTTTGACACTTCCTCTCGCCTCACCCAAGGCGGGGAAGTCATTGGATGGTCCCCCCCCCCGTCAAAAAAGATATCACAATAAATTCTTTCTAGATTTCCGGACAGTAAGTAATCAGTACATTTGTCTCGTAGAGCTGGGAGCTAACCTAGCAGGCCAGGAAGGGCGCCGCGGTAGAGTGGCGGCGGCCGACACGTCTCCGTCCGCGCTGTCCTCCACCAACTCCGCCAGGGACACGCACGCACTACATGCGTTGAGACACGAGAACCACAAGTGAGTACCAAAACTGCATAACTATTACCAATTTAACTATTAAACTGTCAAACACCGCGAGGACACCGGTGACCGCAACCTATTGTTCTTTAATTGTGTCTATAATGACGGTACTCAAAAGGTTAATCAGTTGAACTTTCATTAAGCTTAAATGTATAATAAAGTAGCTTCTGCCCGCGACTTCGTACGCGCAATCCCGTTTTCTCCCGTTTCCGTAGGATTTTTAGAAAGTTTTCTGCCTTAAGAACCTTCTAATAATAACAAATACAACAAAATCAGTGAAATCGGTCCCGCCATTCATTCACGCGTGATGCCGTGATTGGATTTATATATATACACTAGCTCCTTCGATGCGGTTTCACCCGCTTTGCTCGGTGCCTGTTGATCGTAGCGTGATGTTTTATAGCTTATAGCCTTCCTCGATAAATGGGCTATCTGATACAAAACAATTATTCAAATCGGTCTAGTATTTCCTGAGATCAGCGCGTTCAAAAAAACAAGATCTTCAGGTTTATATTGTTAGACGACGAAAATCAACTAAATGAACGCCACTAGTTTAATCTAGCTTATCTAAAGCACTGTCATGTGATAGATTAGAAAGTTCCCCGCGCAAAGAGTGGTAACACGCGATTCTAGTGGGAATTTTGACGAGCATCACGCTGTCTTCTTATAAGATCCGTTTAGAATAAAATTTTCAGTATTTAAGTATTGAGTTTTACTTAAAAATATGCATAAGATTTTACAAAACTTTGATTTCCATTGCAGATTACTTCAAGAGCTTATAGAGAGTTACCAACTAAACCAGACTCTGTTGCGGCAAGTACTAGAAGAACAGAAAACGCAAACAATGATATTCAAGGAATTCGTTGAAAAGAAATCTCGGTAAGTTATACACGCACATGGTACTGTTTACGTGCATACTTATCATTATAGTTCTTTGTCCCAAAAGTTTACGTAGAGGTGACTAATTTTAAAATACTCTTGCTTTTGACGAGTTATGTTTTGCATTCCATCAAGACAGGGCGAGCAAAATTCCTTTCTGTTCTACTGTTGAGTAATTTGTGAATACCGAAAAAGCAGCCAATGATAACACTTAATATAGACTGCACGGTTGATGCGGCGGCTGGGCAATCGGCTACTACTATCGGCTAGAACTACTCTGTGTAATCCACAAATTGTTGTTTCGGGTCTGGGTGTCACGTGTATGTAAACTTGTATGTTTGTAAACGCACCCACGAGACAGGAGAAAATCATAGTGTGGAGATACGTTTTTTTTTAAAAAAACTAAACTAAAACTAAACTTGCACTATCCGGAAAATATAAAATCCGAAATTTCTTGCGAAGCAATGGTGCTTGCGAAAAGACCAACGACGCAATCACTTGCTCAATCATTTTAATTCAAGTATTTTTTTATATTAGACGTTGTTCAAGGCTAGGCGATAATAATCTTTGTATTATTTCTTTTACAGTAGTTGTACTCCACAAGTGTTCGTAAGTCAGAGTGACTCTGCAGTGGACACTGGTGATGGTAGTGACAGTGTGGACGAGAGCGAAGCCCTAAAGTTGCGCGAGTGGATCGCAGCCCGAGGCCTTCCCTCAGCCGTAACCAACGCACTGCTCAGTCATTGCTACGTACTGACTGATCTACTCCAACACGCGCAAAGAGAGGATATTGCGAAACTTAATCTCAAGTAAGTAATGTTTTAATGTACTAGTAAATAAGTCGATGCTTTGTGCCTTAATAGAACGTATTTTTATAACTTTGCGAAGTTAATATTTTACGGGGTTTTCCGACTACTTTCTAAATCAAACGGAGCTATTAGTTATGAGCTGGATACGCAGCGATAATCGATTACTTGTAAGAAAAGAAAATCATATGTTCTGATTAAAATTCTTAATGACAAATAGTACCTATATTCTTTCTATTTGGAGGCCTATTTGGAAGCCATTGAGGAGGCGTGTGTTCAGCAATATTTGACTTATGGCTGATATGATGATGATGAAGTAAAAACTATCACTAAACTAATAACACAAAATTCAACAGAGGTGGAATCGAGCTGCGACTATGGCGAGCAATACAAGAGCACAGACTACACAGTACCCCATCACACTTACGTCGCAGCAGTAGCACGGAGACTGACGGCGACGCCCCACTACTGCTGCTGGACCCCGCGAGGTCCAGTAGAGCGCGCCGAGCGCCCTCTACCGCGTCAGCATGCTCCAACAACCCCACCATCGTGATCCGCGACCAAGTTAACGGAGATGACTCCGTTGCCCCGTACTATGGTGACGCCGGTCTCAATCTTTGACTACTGCGCGGATGGTGCACTCTGCAATAAAGAACTCTTCAACGGCCAGTGTTACACAACCTTCTAGATCTTCTATAATAATTACATAGACTCTTACACAGCCTTCTAGAATCTTCGATAGTAAGTTTCGATGTTTTAAAAAGTACGTTTGATTTTACCACCGATTTATGCCGATTCGCTCATGACGCCGTAAGCGTATAAGCAATGTTCAATTGTCGAAATGACTATAAATACCTCATAAATATGGTTTTGCAGAGATTGAACATGAACTATCAAGCACAATATGAAAGATATAAAGATTGTTTCAAGACGAAAGTCGAATCTCTTGTACTAACTATTGGTCGGCTCAGTAGCCACCAGCTAAATTACTGAATCAATCTTTACTTTCTTACCCGCATAAAATGGTTTGATTGTTTCTCTGATTGTACATACGTGCTTATACGATACGCGCGGAGAATATACTACAGGGCCTTTAGCCAAACGCCACTTTGGCGCTTGTCTACAGAGAGAGTAGAAATCAAAATGTATGGGGATGACACTGACAAGAGTTAAAATTTACGTCAATTCCATATAATTTGGTTTTCTATTCTACATGTAGTCAAGCGCTAAATGGCATTTGGCTACAGCTGCAGGTTATATTAAATTTGGCTTCCATTTTAAATTAATTTGTGGTTATTTGTCAATGGTGGTAATTGAAACGCTGAAATGGTTACATATTAGACTGCTCAATACTTTGGAAACTGGTCGTTATTGGTTGTATTGATAAAGTGATAAGCAATTTTGAGACAATATCATACCGTTAATGTTTGAATGATTTCTTATTTAACTGTGTTCATTAATAGTGTAAAAATGAGTGAAAGAACGTCACAAATTTTTGAATAAATGGTTATAACTAGCATGGAGTAGCTGTAACAAAAATTAGTTGAATTTTAAAATAACATAATTTATTACTCCCTTTTGAATAACACTGTTGTTTGGTTATTCAATGTTGAATAACATAGCTGTTCGATCGTTTAATGTTGAATAACATAGTTGGACGAAAATTGCTGTTGCTTTTAAAACAATAACACCGCTTGAGGCCGAGAGTGTGTCATCCGAATAACTATTATGTAAATATAAATAGGTTTGTATTTATTATTATTAAAGGACAGGAGGATATCGTCAAATCTTTAGCGTGGAAATCAATAAATACGCCAGTAAAAATCTACATATTTTTCTCTTTACTTGCTAAGCAAAATTCGCGATTAAACTTCATGGAATAAGGTTTAAAAACGATATCCTTCGTCCTACATAGAGCTAGTCCCTGTAAATACTATAGGAATGATTGTAAGCATAATATTAAGTTACGCTGTAAACAAGCTGTTTGTAGTTCACAAATATTTTGTATGGTGCTAACGCGTTGTGATGGTAATGTAGTTAAAAGTGCCTTTATACGCTTGCGCGCTAACCAACTTATACGTACATATTATAAATATGTCTTTAAATACATTAAAACTTCGACGATAAAGGTTTTTATAAGAAAAATCTTTTTTGTACACCCTTTAAACTGAATGACGTAAGAGGACAGTTGATTAACCTCTTGTCTGACGGTATAATATGAGATACAATAGAAAACACATTGTGTCTCGCGAAGATATGAGTTCCGACAGGTTAAGGCAATGTTTTGAAATGATTTTCGATTAATATTGATGTTTTTATCAATTGCAATGCTAATTATAAAATATTGCCCCTGTTTCAGTGTGTTCGTTTCCTGGTAACATTTCCGTAACAAAATACAGTTCAATCAAATGTTGGAATCAATCACCTTATTCTATATTATACTTGTAAATATGCAGTTATCACAACGATGAGCTCTCTTGAGCAATGTTAAAAGATAACTGCATCGTAATAAGAACTGTATATCGGTATCATATAAGATTCAAAATACCGTAACAGAAGTCGCAAGACCACTGAATAATTTTTGCTAATAATTTTTGAACTTACTTTGGCATGGAAATAAAACTGCATATGGCTACTATGTACATAAGCACGCCTGCTTTATTACAGTTTATTTTTGTGAGAGCTACCGTTCTTGCTCACCAGAGGGCACTAAGTTAACGTAAGGTCTGAATTGTCCAATAGATAATTTTCGAGTATCAAACCAAACTGGACCTTATAAGGTACATGAGTGTCATCTGGTGCAAATAACTATAGCCCTTATAGCAACACATTCGTGTTGAAATTACTGAATAATTGTTTAGCAAGCTTCAAGCTTCGCTGTTTATAAAAACAAATATATGAAGTATACAATACTTTAAGATATATATAACTAGTTCATTATAAGACGCTATATCTTTTGAGTGCCATACGTACATATTTTCTTATATAATAAAAAAACCTTGTATATTTTCTTAATATTAATATTTACTGTTAATAACTAAAGATTTTATTTTAAACGTATAAAATTATGAACGTGATCTGAAAAGCTTAAATATAATTCAGAGTTAATTATAAATTTTTAGTATTACTAAGATATTGGTCGGTGAAAAATACTTTAAGGAGTTAAAATAGTAATAATATGATACGTGTTTTCTTTAAAAAAATGTTAATATGTTCTCTGCAAGATTAATAAATTAATATGAAGGCCTAACCTAGCCTAGTAAAAATGTCTAATAGGGATGATGACAGGGTATGGAAATTAAAAATCTAATTAGTCCGTCAATTATGTAACGAAAAAATATTAGACACGTATTTTTTTATTTTGCCGTATAAAAAAACAATACTTAAATAAAACGAATCAAAGTTTAGGAATGGGCGCTAACTACGTCACTTTTGAGTATAAAACGTACACAAAAGTGACTTCACGCGATATTTCAAATCAATATGTCGTCGAAAGTATCTGTGTCTGTAAGAAAATAAAAGATACGTGTCTAATGATTTTAAATAATCTACTAGATGGACATTAAAATAAAAATTTGTCATCTACCCTATTGAATATCTTGTCTTGCTATAGCTAATAGCAATTTAACAATACTCAGTAATACCGTTGTGAAGTACAAATATAATAACATTATATGAATTAAATCCTTACAGTAAAGGTGTAACCAAACTTAATATATTTTACGATATATCGATATAATCGGTAAATAATCGTTTATATCGGATCACGAAATCACAGATAATGTCAAATTCTTTACAATGTTGTTTCAGTTCTGCTTATGGACATTAAAATGTAAGGCTCGATAATACATAAAGCATATTTTTTGTCTAAGCAAAATTACAGTGAAAATAAAATGCCCCCTAAAATATTTTTTTATAGTTATATTTTAAAAAGTAAAGGTTATGGATGAGCAAATAAAAAATGACCAATTGTTAGATAGTTCTTCTGAGTTGAATGCAGAAAATAATATAATATCTCACTTAGATCTGCGTTCCGGTAATCCGATTTCACCGATTAATCGATACCTAATCGATGTATGTCGAAAGTTTTGTTGCACCTTTGTAAATAAAAATATTTACGCTTAGGCTGAACCCAATAAATATGAATTGTTAGTGTTATAGACTTAAGTGTTACGTCGTTAATTTGAGCTAAACAATAGAGAACTACTAAATTATAGCTTTAATTTAATATCATTAATTAATATTAGGCGTAGAACTGTTTTGTTTTTGATATTCGCTGATTTTTTTTTGTATTTACGTAAATAAGTTTGTAATTCACATTTGAAACATCGCAATTGTAAACCTTTTTAGGTTTTAACAAACGGAATCAGTGTTAAAATGTAATCAGAATGCGTTAATTTGTTAAAAATATTCGTTAAAAGATCTGTGTTTTTGCACGACACCTTTTTGAAACATTAAAAAAGTAATACTTATACTTTTTTATGTAATTTCTATAACTGTCTCTTTCTATGTCAAGTTTTCTTGTCAAATAACTCATTTTTTTCATACTTTTGTCAGACTTTGACCCAGCAATTGTACACCAAAATCATGTTTACATAGTAAAATATTATTATTAAGTTGTAATACACTATTCAACTTTGTTAAAGTAACTAACTATGTACCTATTGTTAGGTAGAATCTACCCATTTAATTTAATATTTCTTTGAGTAGCTAAATAATAAATGATTAATGATTTTCTGTAGTTTTCTTTTATTATAATCACGATTATGATCAAGAAGATCACAATCTTAGTCGTTTTCTTCATTACTGAGGGTCGTGTCTAGTCTGATGCACGTGTCACTTGATGCACAGCCCTCCTACAAACGCCAGTGTCCTCTGCACTCTTTATGGCTTGTGGAACTGTCAGGACGGTGAGGTTTATTAAAGCATCCAGCCACCGGGTAGGTGAGCGACCACGAGGTCTTTCCCCGTTAACCTGACCAACAACCACAAGCTTCTCCAGATTGTTGGGCCGTAATGTGGCCAAAATAGGTTAGTATTCGCTGCAGGCATACTGTGGACAGCGTCGCATATACGATTTTAATACGTATAAAATTATATAGAATGGTTGAAACTAGTTTTCATCCGATCCCATCGCCCGCCGTTTCGTCCTTCGATACTTTTTCCAATTTACTCGGGAAAACGCCACCTATTGGTGAAAACTAAATTTAAGTCTTCAAGTGTGTCTGTTAATAGATGACGCTACCTGACTAGTTATTTTTTATGGGATAAGCCAGCAAACGAGTACACGGATCACCAGAGGCGTTACAAGTGCGTTACCGGTTTTTGCGGGATTAGGAATTTAAGGATTAGTTTCGAGAAGGGGGCTGAATTGGATAAGTTATTAACAATCACGGATTATTTTTTACGATTGTGTAAATTTAAATTAACCTTGAAGCCGAAGCCATCCATCTTAAGCTCTACCCACCCTTGTTTTCTTACTACCTAACTGAGCACCTACGTAACAAGTTAATTATTCATTACCTGAATCCGCGAATTGACTTTCACTTCGCAAAATTTAAATCGAAATATAATTAAATGTAAAACAGGGAGCTCCGTATAAGATGTAGGCAATCCCCTTG